TCAATCTGAAAGTTCTTTTTTCCTTTGGAGAGAGAGACAACAATTTGGAATAACGCTTCTAAATTCATGAAGAAGATAAATAAATAAGAAGACCTGAAATCAGGCGAGTATTTCAGAAAATAAGAAGATGAAGAAGGCGCCACTGGCCATATATGTTATTCAAGTCTGTCAGCTATGCAGTGGTTAAAGCTGTAGTGCTTAACATTGTATTCACATAGGAATCACTAGCAGTGAAAAAAAGGGTTATATTGTAAAATTATTAGAATTTTTGCACTTTTTTTACATGAATGATACAAAATATTATCAAAAGTGCAATAAGGCATTTTCTCATCCTCCTGGTGAGAGCGTACGTGACAACACACTTCCAGGAAAGGGGATTGGCACTAAGTATCAATAGCCTTAAAAGTGTTCATACTCAAAAATTGCACTTTTAGGAGTCTATCCTGAGAAAGTAAACAGCAATACAGCCAATGACTTATGTTAAAGACTTTTAAGCACCAATAGTATATAATTGTGGGGAAAAAATGGAAGCAATAAAAAATCGCCAACAGTAGGAGAAGGGTTAAATACTTTATTGAATATACAGATTTAGGAACATGATGCAGCCACTAAAACTCATGTTTCAAAGAATATTTAATGGCATGAAACATTCTTAGGCTATATGAATAAGAGAAAAGAGCAGGAAACATATCAGTATAAACCCCATTCAGGAAAGAAAGCAAGATACACTTAAAACGGAGAAACACCAAAATGTTAAGTCCTTATTTCTGAAGAGTGTACTAGTGAGTGACAGTCACTTTGTTTTTCAGTGCTCTTCTGTATTTTCTAGGTAGTGGGGAAAAATCATGTTCTAAATCCACAACAATTAACGTGAAATGGCAAAGAATACACTTTTGATGAAAGAATTATTCTGACACTTGTCGAAATAGTAAGGCTGACTTTACTGAGGGGACCATAGCGATAAGTGTAGGGACGACTGCAGTGGGGTTTTGCAGTGGGGAGGAGAGATTGGTCTCAACTCCGAATACAACAAGGAGAAGTGGGAATTTAGAGCCGAGGAGCAGAGTGTTGGGGAGGGGCGAGGAGTGGATGGAAAATTACTAAGAGAAAACATCAGAGGTCAGAGGATTCTGGGAAACTGGCCTCACAGGTTTGCTGCTGCAGTCAGGCCAAGGTGATCTGACTCCGCGTGTGAGATGAGGGAAGAGGAGAGCCCAACCGTATATTGAGAGTGATCAGATATCCGGGGGTGGCGGGGTGGGGGTGGTGGTTCTGGCTAAACTAACTTCGCAGGATGCTTGTAAAAACTGAGCAAGGCAAAGACAGACGTGGAGGTACAAAAGGCGAGGCCTGGTTGGGAAGAGGCCTCAGAGGGGCCTGACTAAAGTGCAGTCAAGGAGAGACTATGAATATGCAGCCCTAAGTCAAGGAGATGTGGGTACTTTGCTTGGAACTTACAAATAAATCAACACTCCAAGTATCTCCTAATTTTCCCATGTGGCCCTGAGCTTGTTTTCCTGCCAATTCTCTAGCTATAGAACAAAAAAACAAACTTCAGATTTAAATCTTGGTCACTGGTTTGTTAAGTTCTATTACTGACAAGTTCTTTCCAATTGCTCACTAAACAGTTTGGTGAGATGGTGCGGCATGGTACGGCATGGTTGGAGTGGTGTGTATCCCATGGGGAAACCTATTAGCAAAGTGGGAGAAGTGTTCATATTGTAAAAACAATATGGTATTGTTATAGAAAGTCGGAAATTAGAAAAAAGTCATCACCTCTGATGCCATCACAACAGAACCACTTGTATGATCTTACAAATTCCCCTCCATGCGTCGTTATGTGTACATTTATAGCATTAAAATGTTACTGTATACACAATTTTGTATCCTGCTTTTGTATTTGTCATATATAAAAAGCACTGTCTATGTTGCCACATGGTCATTTTAATTATTGTTAGTATTTTAATGACCACCTAATATTTATTAAGTAAATATTTTATATTTTAAATTCCATGTTCTTGGGCAATCAAGTTCTTCCCTTCTAAATTTTCAGTAAAAACTATTCTTCTAGCCAGTCACTCAGTGATAGAAAGAATTTTCATGAAAAGCTCAATTCACTTTCTTGCCTAATCTGTAGATTCATATACTCACCACTACAGGTTGCTTGATGTTTGTGTGACCAATATTTGTTCAAATGGAAAATCTTGTAAACACAAATTGATCCAAAAGAACTACAACTTTAGGGGCCGGCGCAGTGGTTAAGTGCACGCGCTCTGCTTCTGCGGCCCGAGTGTTCACAGCTTTGGATCTCGGGCGCGCTCCATTGCACGGCTTGTCAAGCCATGCTGTGGCGGCATCCCGTATACAGTGGAGAAACATGGGCACGGATGTTAGCCCAGGGCCGGTCTTCCTCGGCAAATGAGGAGGATTGGCATGGATGTTAGCTCAGGGCTGATCTTCCTCACACATAAAAAAACTACAACTTCAGAAACTATAGTTTGTCTTGAAGCTTTTACAATAAGAGACCAAGAATCTGCAATATATACAGTTAGCAGTCTGACAAATGCTCTCCAATGAAAATTATGTTAAACTCATACTAACCCTTTGAAAATAAACTAATAATAAATGTTAAATTGGGGAAGAAGGAAAACAATCCTTCCACTCCCCCATAAAATAGTAATCTAAATGCAACAAAGCAATTTTGCACACCCTACTAAAAATTACAGGTTGCAGGTTTCGGTTTGACTAGTCTGCCCTTGGGAGGAAAGGTGGCAAAGTGCCTAAATTATTTTCCTTTGCACCGTGTCATGCCTAATAGTAGTTTATGAAGACAATTTGCTTTAATCTTTTTGGTGTGAAAAAAAGAAGCGAAAGCAGATGTCTGTAAAATTAGTCTAGTTGTAAACGACTCAGTTTCAGGACTTGATCAGTCTAGAACTTCTGCTGCTCCTAACTTTTGTTCTTCTGTTCTTTCTGCACAACCACACAAGGCTGAACTCCATCGCTCCCCAAAAAGTCATCTTACTTATATTTTAGTAGCTAGAATTTGAAATATGAAGCGGTAACTGAAATGAATATTATTAAAAAGATTCAGTATTTTTTTAATTCAGCTAAACCTGTACATATAGGAAAACGGAAGCTGGTGCAGTTTTCTGGGAAGACTTTCCTTGAGACAACTTCCACAGAAGCAGAAAATCCAGCTGCATGGGTTATTTGAGATAAAAATGGGTTCACACTTAGGCAAAGAGAGGACAGAAGTGAGGTGCAGGTTCATGACATAGCTGTTAACTGGTGATGCTACCCCTCCACGCTGGCAGGAATGGCACCCAGAATCCTACTGTAGATGCACTGCAGGAATGAGTTGGAGTGTGGAGGCCAGTGAGAAGCGAGTGGTGTAAGAAGCAAGATCTCGATGATTACCTGTGCTGTGCGCTGCTGACCCAGGGAGCCTCGGGCTGCCTTGTGCTTCTCCCATTCCCCTGGGATTTCACGCTCCATCATCCCTGAAGGAAAAGATTTAGAGTATAGAATCTGTTGACATCTTGTTCATTCTAGGAGAGTAGGACTTCTGAAGAGAAAAGACAAGCCAAAAAAGCCCAGTGAGAATCAGGCCAATTGGCCACGGAGCAGTTTTGTGTGCGTGTGAGTCTTTTCCGAAAGGACCCCCTCTGTGTCCCTGCTCCAAGGTTCACTGCTAGAGTCCTTCTCAAAACTGAGAGGGACAGGAGAGATCATGCCAAGATAGCCGTGAGGCTCAAGTCCCCTTAAATACTTAAAACCTGCTGTCGAGTACTTGAAACTTCCCTTTTCCAGACTGTTCCTAACACGATCAACGAATCCGTATTATTCTAGAATTTGAATGCCCTCCCGGTTTCCCAAATCCTTGTCAGTCTGGTCCAGATACAGTCTAGTAGATCTATCCATTCCTTGAAGAAGGGCTCCCAGGAGTGAGCGAGTTCCCCAGGGACAGCTCACTAGTACACAGTGGGGCAAGAACACGATTCTCTCCTTCTAGACTCTATGGGCATATTTAGATGCGATGGAGCATAAGACATGTGCTGCTCTTGAGTGACCCAGTCCCTCCCGAGATAATCCAGTGAGTGTCTTGGACTTGATAGAAATATATAAATGAGAAGGTACAAACTCAAATGAGTTCTGCCTCCAGGCAGGTAGCACAAGTGTGACATCCTCCATGACTAGAAGGAGTGACAGGGATTGGGGCAGCCTGGAGCACACATAGCGTCCCTAAAGGCATACAGGTTCACTTATGTCTTTAAAGACCATGTGGGACCGAAAAAAACACTGAATTCACCCGTGGTCTGCAATTTGTTAGCACTGTACCTCAGGCCAGTCTCTGGTGTGACATTAACAGCCACACGTGGGAAATCGGACCTTCTAGCGCTCTTATTGTGCTAACCAAATAACACATGGTGTGCTCCAAAATAAACTTTTTTGAAAAGGAAGCAGTTCACTACCAAATGACCAGCAATTATTTATTTTAAATCTTTCAGGAATAAATTTTCAAATAATCCTAAACCTCTTGTGACATTCGGATGTTGGTTGAGATCTCTTCCCAAAACTAGAGAGATTATGTTTATTCCACAAAAATATTTGCTATTAATAATAATGTTAATATTGATTTACCTTTGTATTTGGCAGGCGCTTTGCTAAGTATTTTGTGTGCGTGAATGAAAGTAATCCTCAGAGAAAGAACATGACATTGGCACTTCCCACAATGAGTGTGGTTCAGAATCTTTGCTGTTGTTCTTTCCCTCTCATCCCTGTGTGTTTTCAGTGATGACGCTCTTTACCAATAACACTAGTGCCAGGAACCAGAATCCTTGGAAAGAAATTCATTAAAAAAATTGTACCGATTTATTCTGTAACTGCTCATAGACCGATTAGAACAAGAAACTCAAACTGCTTATGTTTTAGAGTGCTTTTCTCTCCAGTTGTCACATGTTGACTTGTGATTGCAATACCCTTCCCTCACGTTGTAGACAGAGCTGCTCGGGCGGAGAGTCAAGCCTTTTCCACTGCGAGGGGCTGCCTGGCTGTGGGGCAGGAAGAGCTCATCCTCCTGCAGGAGAAGGTCAAGAATGGGAAGCTGTCTGTGGACGAAGCTCTGGAGAAATTTAAACAATGGCAGATTGGAAAGACTGGCCTGGAAATGATTCAGCAGGTAATACTGACCCCATCCCTTCTGGAACACTCGCTAAGCTCCTAGCCTCCTTGTAAATGTTTAGTCTTCACCAGAAATACAGGTAACTGTTCTTTTGTTTTTAATTAGCCACAGGAAAAAAAAAAAAAAAAGATGTTTTCAAACTACCAATTAGAAGTTTGAAACTATGCAGTCTTTATGTTTACAAACCTTTGGAGGACTCAATGCTGGGACTTGTGTCTCAGAGCTAACACTTAATCAGCATATAGGGCTGTCCTTAGTACAGTGAATGTTCTGTAAGTCTTACCGCTGAAACTAGGGTGAAGCATCTTTACACTAACCTGTGCTCAGCATTCTGAAGAGTGTGTTATGTAGACCAGGCTTAAAGGGACAAGAAAACGGTTGAAATCATATCCAGCAACAGTCCTAAATGAAATGTAATAAGTTTTATCTTCTCTTCCCCTTAAACTTTGGGGAAAAAAAAAAAACTGTATATATACATATATATTTATATACACATATATATAGATGTCAGTCCGGATTTGCAGAGAAATGATGCCAAGAGTATAAACTTCAGATAAGCTTGTCTTCTATAAATATAATTTACATCTGAGAGGGATTAGAGTAGGTGGTTCTGAGATAAGAATGAAAACAAAATATACCACAGACACTCCATGACTTTCCTCAGTGAGGGGATCAGGACCGTGTTCTGTTTATCTCACAGGCCTTCCCACTCCCAAAATATTCCCACAGTGTTTTTCTTCTCGTCACAGAAAGCCCCAGAGCCTTAGAAACCAGTTCTCAGGCAGCTATTTGATTAAATACATTTAATTAGCTAGTTTAGGCCAAAGTATAAATAATCATTAATAGCTTAATATGCTACCATTCCCAAGACATCATTTCTATTTAAAAACAATGCTTAGGAAGACATTTTTAAACAACAGAAAAATTAGTCCCAGTGGTGAAATTTCAAACAATGTGGCATGTAGGCAGGAGACATTTAGGCCGAATGCTCTCCCAGCACATCCAAGGTCACCCCTGGTCAGAAACCGCCTATCTCTTGGGCAGCTCTGGCTGTGGGCTGGTGGTGGGACCTGGTCCAGATTTGGCAGTGTCTAGCAAGAGCAACTATTTGTGCCAAACAAATGCGAAAGCACACTGACTGCGGGGTCCTGCGACTGATCATTGCTCATGATCAGAATTACAGCACTGCTCCTTACTCTGTGCCCAGGCCATCACCATCAGACATCCCTCTTATCCTGAATGGGCAAGATGTGCTCAAGTGCAGACCTACAAATCACTGTCCTAGCAATGCTAGATTATATAAGTTTTGTTGAAATAAGTCAATTGTCCTTCATCCTCCTTAGACCCTTCAATAATAAAGCCTACAATTTAGAGTAATCCAACTGAAATACCTTCTTGGAAATGATTTCACTAGTTGTTTTATTAAACACCTGGTTGTTTCTATTTTCTTTGTGTATGTATATTGAACATTGTTTACAAAGAATTTAAGGTGGACCATACTCACTACAGCAGTCTCCCCTTAGCCGCAGGGAATACGTTCCCAGACCCCCAGTGGATGCCTTAAACCACAGATAGTACCAAACCCTAAATATACTATGTTTTTTCCTATACATGCGTACCTATGATAAAGTTTAATTTATAAATTAGGCACAGTAAGAGATTAACAACAATAACAAAATAGAACAATTATAACAATATACTGTATAAAAGTTACCATAGATCTTAACAACCTCAGCATATGATATTTTTCTTTCCTTATCAAGTCCAGAACTTTCACCATTTCACTTAAAGGAAGTACTTGATGGCTTCTCTTTGCCATATCTGAATTGCCAGCATCAATACTCTTGCACTTTGGGCCATTATTTAAGTAAAATAAGTGTTATTTGTACACAAGCACTTCGCTACCCAACCATGGATCTGATAACCAAGACACTACTAAGTGACTGGGGCGGGTAGCATGTACAGTGTGGATACACTGGACAAAGGGATGATTCACGTCCTGGGAAGAACAGTGTGAAATCTCATCAGCCTACTCAGAACAGTGCGCAATTTAAAACTTATGAATTGTGTATTTCTGGAATTTTCCATTTAATATTTTTGGACTGTGGTTGACTGCAAGGTAACTAAAACTGTGGAAAGCGAAACCGTGGATAAGAGAAAACTACTGTACTTTAAGACTGATCTGACTTATCTAATATATAGGGACAATAGGATAATGAATATGGTTAGTGGTTATGCAAAACAAAACAAAACAAAATTAGCCTGTAAATGCAAGAACAGGCACTAAGTCTACTTTCCGTAAGAGCCAAAAGTTCAATGACTCTGACTGAATACTGTTCGAAGAATCAGTCAGTCCTTTTCCTCTTTTTTCCCAGCTTTATTGAGATATAATTGACATATAACATTGTGTAAATTTAAGGTGTACAAAATGTTGATTTGATACACTTATATATTGCAAAATGCTTACCACCATAGCATTAGCTAACATCTCCATCATGTCATATTAATATGACATTTCTTTTTTGGGGTGAAAGCATTTAATATCTACTCTCTTAGCAACTTTCAAGTATATAATACAATACTGTGTACTGTAATCACCATGCTGTACATTAGATCCCCAGAACTTATTTATCTTATAGCTGGAAGTTTGTATCCTTTGACCAACATCTCCCTTTTTCCCCTTACACCTAGCCCTTGGTAACCACTATTCTACTCTCTGTTTCTATGTGTTTGGCTTTTTCCGATTCCACATATAAATGATATCACATGGTATTTGTCTTTCTGTCTCTGGCTTTTTTCACTTAGCATACTACCCTCAAGGTCCACTCATGTTCTTGTGAATGGCAGGATTTTCTTCTTTATCATGGCTGAACAATATTCCTATCTTCTTTCTATCCTATCACATCTTCTTTATCCATTCATCCATTGACAGACTTCGTTTGTTGTTGTCATGTCTTGGCCATTGTGAATAATACTGCAGTGAACAATATCCTGTTTTCATTTCCTTTGGATATCTACCCAGCAGTGAGATTGCTGGATCATATCGAAGTTCTATTTTTAATTTTTTAAGAAACCTACATACTGTTTTCCATAGTGGCTGCACCAATTTACATTCCCACCAACAGTACACAGGGTTCCCTTTTCTCCACAACCTGCTAACACTTGTTATTTCGTGTCTTTTTTTGATGATAACCATTCTAACAGGTGTGAGGTGAGATCTCATTGTGGTTTTGATTTGCATTTCTTTAATGATTAGTCATACTGAACACCTTTTTATATACCCATTGGCTGTTTGTATGTCTTCTTTGGCAAAATGTCTATTCAGATCCTCTGCTCATTTTTTAACCAGATTATTTGGGTTTTGCTAATGAGTTGTATGAGTTCTTTATATATTTTGGATATTAACCCCTTATCAGATATATGATTTCCAAATAGTTTCTCCTATTCTGTAGGTTGCTTTCTTGGTTTGTTAATTGTTTCTTTTGCTGTGCTTTTAAGTTGATGTAGTCCCACTTGTTTATTTTTGCTTTTGTTGCTTGTGCTTTTGGGTGTCATATCCAAAAAATCGTTGCCAAGACCAATGTCAAGGAGCTTTTTCCCTCTGTTTCCTTAATTGTTCCTTAACATGATGGCCTGGACAACAGTCAAAACAACAAAAAAATGAATACCCTCCCCATTTCCCCAACATATGCACACACACACTCATTCTCATACACTTTTCAATATTACTCTTATAGTTTACAAAAATATTCATTTGTATCCTGAGGATGAATCCATCAGAAATAACTGTGAAGTTATGTTATTATTGACAGAGGTATTATCCTAAGAAAATAAGAGGAAACATATGGCACAAACGTAGAGTTAATAATAGAAGAGTTTCTAGAATAATGAAGATCCGCGTGGAATCGCTGGAGCTGAAGGTGAGAAGTTTGAGGAGATGAAAACCTTGCCTTTCACTCTCCTCACTCCTCACTCGCTCATGATCACTGAGGACCTAAAGAAGAACGTTTGCTCTACTCCTAGGAGACCATCTCTAAGGCAATGAAAACAACTCTCTATTTAGGAAACGTGGTTTCTAGGTTTCAGGGGAAACCCTTAAGGAAAAGCACTACTCTTAGGTTCTCTTCTAAAAGGGGATTTTTTGAATGTTAGCTTGTTTTACATTTTGGTTAGAAAGATAATAGATGTTCATCGTAGAATATTTGGAAAGCAAAGAAGGATCGCAAATGAGCTAAGAAAGGGAATCCAGTTATGTATCATTTACTCCCCTGTCCCTAGTTGTTAGAAGGATTTTGTAGTTCTTAGAAGGAATTCCTAGGAATGTTATCAGATACATACCCAGGTCCTTTACCTGCCACACAAGAGGGGCCAAATAAAAACTGGAATGCCAGGCTTATGGCAAGGAAAGAGTTTTTATTTCGGGTGATGTCAGCCAGGAGACGAGAGCTCTCAAATTCCTCCCGTCTCCCCAAAAGATGGGAGGCAAGGGGTTTTAAAGGTTGTGAGGGAGAGCATGTGCTGGGGTTTTAGGTAGGGGAGGGGGAGCATGTGGACGTGGTGGTTGGCACCTTCCCACCAGCCTGCGTTTGGCCTTGAAGACTGAATTTCTTTCCCTTGACTGTGTGGACTTTTCTGGTTGGTTTTCATCTTCAGCCTGTGTTTGGCCTTGTGAGGCTGAATCTTGATGTCTGGACCTTGATTTCCTGGGAAAGACAGCTCACTCATATACTGAGGAGGGACAGAAAGACCTGGTTAGTTTTAAACAACTGTTGATGATGCTGAATATGCACAGCTGCAGTTAACAAAGCTTATCTCAAAGTTTTTGCTCTCTTCTTCTAGCCGAGGGAAGATTTTTGTAACCTCTTCATGCTTGGTTTCAGGAAGGATGGTGCCCTACAGAGGCTGGAGATGGGTTCAGATACCAACAAATCCCCATCGTGTCACCCTCCTGCTTTTGGATACCAAATAGCCAATGTAGACTCCTCAGGTGTCAGATTGGGAAAACAGCTCCCAAAAGAACTGGGCTCTGGGTTCCAATCCTGACTCTACCCCTTATAACTCTGATTTGGGAGAGTTACTTAACCTTTCTGTACCTCAGTTTTCATATATGTAAAATGAGATGAAGACGTTTTATATATACTTTATGAAGTTGTGAGGATTAAGTAAGATAGTATATGTAAAGTGTCAAGGATGGTGATCGGGATATGGTAAGTAGCAAATTAGTACTAAGTAGTCGGGGGGTACTGGTAGTAGTAGTTGATGTTTTCATCTTGATCCATGACAAATTTGTACACCTTGACTTCTGTTTCCTGGTTGTTTCCTCATTAAGGAAAAACTACGCCAACTACGAGATTGTATTATTGGGAACAGGCCAGAAGAAGAAAATGTCTTTGGTAAGTAAAATTTGCCTGTTATTCAAAAAGGATAGTGATGAAGTGGAAAATACAAGGACTGTGAAGTCACACAGGCCTGAATTCAGATCTACACTTCATCACTTCCAGCTGTGTGACCTGAAGAGTGTCTCAATCCCTGGTGCTGGGGTTCCTTGTCTGAAGAACAGGAATAATTATACATACATCTGGAAGTGGTTGTGTGAGTTAACAAATAAAATACTTTTCACCTACTCTGACCCATAATGAACCTTCAATAAATACTAGTTACTTTCTTTCCTTTGATTTCTTTGTAAGTTGCAAATAAGATAATTCTGCTCCAGTTTTTTTATGAGCCGTTATACAGAGTATTGAATTATTGAGTCATATTTTTTTAATAAAGTAGAATATTCTCAATATAATCACTTCTCACAGTTGTCCACATATGGATCATTTTAAATTGTAAATCTCAGGTTGCTTTCCCCTGCAGCTAGCATGCTTCTTGGCAATGCAGATTCCCCATGCTAATAATTAACAGTTGCTCTCAGAGGAAAAAAAGACCCATTTTAAAGTTAATGCAGACCAAACATTATTAAGATGGTAAATCTTCTCCAAAGATAAACAACACATTATAAAATTGAAAATAAATTATGTTATCATTATCTGACCATTCTTTCTCCAAGTCCCTACGCCTGCACTGATAATTAAAACTAACAACCACTATCAAAGCTTGAAAGTTTCCCTTCCTTCCATTTTCAATAATATTGCATAGCTTTTAGTTAGTGCTTCATGTTGAAATGCACCCTATTAAAATTCATTTTCTTTTCAAATATTGGGCTGTTATCTACTTTTCCGTAGAGAATTCTTTAAGCTCTCTTAGATATGTTTTCTAAAGCAGAAATATACTTTCTAAAATAACTACGGTGATAAACCCAGGACTAATTTGCAGATAACTGAGTTCTACAGTTTTCTATTCTAATGTGGGATAAGATTAAGATTTTGACAAAGTATAAAATTACAAAATATATCAATAATTTTACTAAGGAATATTAACTAGTAGTAGCTAATATTTATTGACTATATACTATACACTTAATATTATCTTATTAATTTCTTACAATAACCCTTTGAGGTAGGCATTAGTCCCAATTTATAAATAAGGAAACTGAGACTCTGAGAAACTAGGAAGCCCAAAGACACACAGATTTGAAACTATAACCTATTTCTGTTTGAATCCAAAGTCCATATACTCTTAATCATTGGTATCTTAATTATGAGTCAACTAGTTCCCCTTCCAACCAAAATGGAATAAGTAGTACCAGACACATCCTCCCATAGCACAAAACACTAACACTGGGCAAAAAGAGGAGGCAACCAATGTGTGGGAGTAGGTAATAGGCAGCCTAAGTCTATAATCCCAGAGACAAAACTTATGAGGAGGCTTTCATGATTGCCCAGGAGACTGATTTCCTGAATACAATCTGTGCAAAGCAAGGCAGTCTTGTTGAAAGGCAAAGATCAAAGTTCAGGGCAGCCAAGGCTGCTGGAATGTATGTGATGGGTCATTGAAGCAGAGGTAACTGTGTAGAAAGGTAGCCTCAGAGGGAGTGAAGGTCTCCACCAGGCTGTGGCTGAGAGACGAGCTGTACATGTGCAGGGCAAGACCGCTCAAGGCATACAAGATAGCAGCTTCTAGGGCACTGAAGGCAGAACAGAGACACTAGAGTTTGAGCAGAGCCAGGAAAAAACTGTACTGGGGATGTTTGAGCTCCTGCCCTGCCAGAGTGGAAAGGTCTCCTTACACTTTCTCAAAATACCTGGCATCTTGCTATGACATCCAAGAGATGTCATGAATAAGGACCGTGACTTAGAGTAAGACCCACTCTAGACCTGCCCTAACAAAGCCTAAAACCAAGCCCCCACAAGATCCACATGGAAGATAGTTTGTAGGCTCAGTCCCACTGAGGGCCTCAGAAAACACCTCAGGCTTTCTATAGGTCAACACTGAAAACAGCATAAAACCAAGCCTACACAAGTTCATGCCAGTAATGAAACTGCCTGCTAAAATTAGAACCTACACTTATTAGAGGAATACTACAGAATCCAGAATACACAACAGATTATCTATAATGTGGAGTATTCAATTTAAAAAAGAAAAAAGAAGATATACAAAGATATAAGAAAATGTAATTCATAGAAAAGAAAAAGAAAGCCATCAATAAAAACTGAACCTGAGATGGTTGATTGCTGATCTAGCAAAGACTTTAAATCAGCTCTTATAAACATAATTAAATTAATGAAAAATATGATTTTAAGGAGTGATTAAATAGGAACTCTCAGAATAAAAACTGAAACTATGTAAAAGAACCAAATGGAAATTATAGAAATTAAAATTACAATAAAAGAAGTGAAAAATTTATCAAATGAGCTTATCAGCAGATTTGGTAAAGCAAAACTAAGAGTTAACAAACTTGAAGATAGATCAAGAGAAATTATCCAATATGATGAACAGGGAGATAAAAAGACTTTGAAAATGAACAGAGCCTCAGGGACATGTAGGACAATATAACACAGTCTAGCATACATGTAATTAGAGTCCCAAAGGAGAAAAGAGTGAGGTTGGGGCAAAACATTTTAAAATAAGTGATGGCTAAAAACTTGATAAATTTAATGTAAACCACCTCCATACAGTTCCAAGAACTTCAAAACACCCCAATTAGCATAACTGTTAAGAGAACTACATCTAGGCAATTTGCAGTCAAAACTACTTCAAGCCAAGGTACAGAGAAATTCTTGAAAGTAGCCAGAGAAAAGAGACACATTACATATAGAGGAAAAAGCATAAGAATATTCTCTATTTCTTATCAGAAACAGTATAATAAATACTAAAGAATGTTATACAGAATAAAGGGGATATTAACAAACAGAAACTCAGAGCCACACCAAGGAATAAAGAATACTGAAAAGTATACAAAACAGGTAGATATAAAATACTATGTTTTCTTTCTTCTCGTAAATTATTTCAAAGACAAGTGTTTAAAGCAAAATAATAACACTTAAGTTGGAGGTTAAAACATATGAAAGAAGGAAAAGATATGAAAACAAACACACAAAGACAGAGGATGCAAATATGTGGAATTATATGGTTGCAAAATGTTTATATGGTGAAGTTCAAAGTATGGAATGTGAAAAATCAGGTATAAAGAAGAGGAATGGATAAGGTGGGAAGTATGAAGGATCAAGTATAAGGCATGAAGCATGAAGAGGTACACTGTGGTCCCTAAATAGACTCTGATAAGTTAAGGATGCATATTTTAGTTATAAAGCAACTGCTAAAAAATAAATAGATATATAAATAAATAAATAGGAAACTAAGAGAGGAAATAAAATAAAATGGAACACTGAAAAGCTATTTGATTCACCAAAACTAAAGCAGGAAAGTAGCAAAAGAGGAACATAAACAAAATGGATAAGTAAAAAACTGAGAACAAGATGGTAGTGTTAAACTGAGCCATATCAATAATTATGTTAAATGTAAATGGGTTAGATACTTCTTCTAAAAGGTAGACATTTTCAGGCAGGATAATAAAGCAATATCCAAATTTATGCTGTCTAAAAGACATTCATTTTAAATATAGGACACAGAATGTTTGAAAGTAAAGGCTGGTAAAGAATTTACCATGCCAACAGTAAGCATAGGAAAGTTGGCATGGCTATATCAACATGAGACAAAATAAATTTCAATACAAAGAGTATTACAAGAGGCTATTACAAAATGATAAAAGGGAAGTTCACTAGGAAGATATAAAAAGCCTAAATATCTGTGTACTTTATGCTGTATATGTAGTTGTTATGCATTTTATCAAAACTCATGAAGCAAAATTTGATAGTACTCAGAGATGTTTTCACCTCTTTTTTAGTAATTGATAGAACAAGTAGACAAAAATCAATAATAATGTAGAAAATCTAAACAACACTATCAACTAACTGGACCTAATAGACACTTACAGAACAAGACATCAAAAAAACTCAGAATACACGTATATTTAAGGTATACATGGAGGGGTCGCCAAGACAGGACACATGCTCAGCTATAAAAAAAAGTTTCAACAAATTTCAAAGGATTGAAATCTTCAGAGCATGTTTTCTGAAAGATATCAGTCTTTTAAAAATCTTACATTCTCTTACCACAACAAAAATAAATTAGCATTTAAGAAATTAGAAATATCTCTCAAAATAGTTAAGAATTAAATACAAGATTTCAAAATAAGCTATGAGTCAAATAAGAAATCACAAGAAAATATTTCAACATAAATGATAATGAAAACAGAACATATCAAAATTGTTAGAATGCAGCTAAAATAGTACTTACAGGTAAACTTATGTCTATAAATGTTATAGTAGAAAAGACAAAAAGCTTAAGATCAATGATCTAAATTTCCACTATGGGAACCAGAAAATGAAAAGCAAACTAAATCTAAAAAGAGGTATGAAGAAGAAATAATAAGGATCAGATCAAAAATCAATGAAAAATGAAAGAGATGAACAATAGTGAAAACCAAAAATTAGTTATTTGAAAACATAACTAAAATTGATAAGCCTGTGACAAAAATGATCATGAAAAAAGAGAAAACAAGAGTTACCTATATCAGGAAAATAAAGTGAGGCTATCACAACAGATCCTACAGATATTAAAAAGATACTAAGAAAATATAATTAACTTTTTGCCAGTACATTTAACAACTTAGACAAAAAGAACAAATTAATTAAAAAAGAAAACTTGCCAAAAGTGACTCAAAAAAAAAACCTATACTTCCCTGAGTGTACCTTTTTGTATAGTTTCTGACTTTTAGAACTTTGTGAATATGAATACATATTCAACAAGCAAAGATGGGGCTGGGAAGGGGGAAAAATGGAACATAAGCAGAAGAAAATGAACCTAGTGGTATTACAAATAAATAACATATTTACACCGACACGAGATAAAAAAAAAAAAACTAACATAAATAAATTTAGAAAACAGTATATTCTGAGGATAAAAATAAAAGAAAAAAACAGTACATGAAAATTGTATTCTATACTCCAGTTAGTAGAGCTTACTTCTCTATAGGGGTATAGTTTAGCAATTTCAAAACTACTTTATGTATGTTCTAGGACTGAGTAAATAAATAAATGTACTATGGATAATGAGAGCCAGGTTTCCTATTGTCAGAGAAAGAAATTACAACTAAGGAAAAAAGAAGGCTAGAATGAATCTTGCTGTGTTGGATTGGAATTGGAGGTTAAAGTATAGCAACTCATGGCTGTTAATATATATTACGGATAGATATAGAAATATAGTTGTATGTGTATGTACATTTCCTTCGCTCTGTCTGCTGAAAGGACTAAGAAGCAATGACAGCCAATGAGCACTTTTAGCACCCAGATGTTAGGTTACAAAAACTAATGGCCAATAAGCATGTGAAAATATGCTCAACACCATTAATCATCAGGAAAATGCAAATTAAACTACAATGAGATACCAATACACAAGTATAATGGCTAAAATTTTAAAATATTGTCAAAATTAGTGATTAGGACATGGAACAACTGGACATGCATTGCATGCATTGCTGATGGGAGTATAAAGTGGTGTGATGACTTTGAAAAAGTTAAGTATGGACTTACTATATGGCCTAGACAATCCACTCCTAGGTATTCTTCCAAGAAAAATGAAAGCGTTGTGTCCATCCAAAGACTTGTTCACAAAAGTTCTTAGCCGTTTCATTTATAATAGCCAAACTGGAAATAATCCAAATGTTCAATAGAAGAATAGATAATTATATTGTGGTATATTCATGCAATGGAATGCTACTCAGCAATAAAAAGGAATACCTACTATCACACACAACAACATGAATGAATCTCGCAGATATTATGCTGAGTGAAAGATACCAGAGACAAAGGCGTACACACTGTAAGATTCCATTTATCTGGAATTCTACATAAAGCTAATCTGTAGAGGTAGAGATCAGATGACAGGTCGCCAGGGGTAATGGTGAGGTGATGACCGATGTAAGGGGCACAAGGGAATTCTCTGTGGAGATGAAATGTTCTCTATCCTAGCAGGGGTGATAGGTACATGGTTGTATAGATTTGTCAAAACTCATCAACCTGTACACTTAAAAATGTTTGAAGTATCCTGTATGTAGTTATTCCTGAATAATGTTAATTCCAAAAAAGAACGGAGTAGCTCAGGCTAAAAGAATATTAAAGCAGAGCAGCGAGCTTTCATTCAGTGTCAAACATATCTAAAATCATAACACCTTGCGACAAGTGTCAGGAGGAAAACAGGCAAAAGTAGTAAAAGACATGGTTGCACACTTAGTGGCCAGAGATTAATATTTTTTAAATCAGACTGTGAAATTTCATAGTCACCTCAATGACCAGAAGTAGTCAACCAATAAAGGAGAGCTTAGGATAAATATTGAGCAAAACTCAGTAGAATGTGGTTTTTTTTTTTTTGTCTTCTAGATAAGCTCACCATTGTGCACCATCCAAATGGTAAGTTTGGGGTATTTATTGAAGGATTTTGGAGTAAAACAAAGCACTTAATAAACCAATTTCAGTATCAGTGTAAACCTAATATGACTAGGCAGATTGGTGTAAAAACTCACATAGATTTTATATTTATATGCAAGACCGCTGAACATCCAGCCTAAGTGTGAGGTGGCTCTAGAGCAGCAATGCTAGCAGCACTGTGATATGGTAGAACGGGGACGTGCTTCAAACTTGGATTGACCTGGCTCTTCACAACTCACTAGTTATGACCTTTGGCAAGTCACTTCAGTTCTTTAGGCCTCAGTTTCCTCGTACATAAAATGTAGATAAGAATTCTGCCGTGGGGAATTGTTATAAAGACTGATGATATATGTAAATGGGAGCTGATGATAGAGCTGTTGATAAGTGGGAGTTATTGATAGAGCCAATGAAATCAGAATAACACTTGAGAAAGTAGTTCACTTTAGTGCGATGGGAAGGAATGTGTGCAGAATGTTGGGAGGGCAAAGAGGAACTAGAGGCCAGCTAGGGAGCTGTTGGATAATCTAGAAGTAACTGTCTACAGCCTGAACCTCAGCACTGACTGTGGGAATGCAGAAGCAATAGAACCCAGTGCGGGGCTGGGATGGACAATGGGAAGCCTGTGGGATGGGCAGGAGGAGCAGGTAGCATGGGCCAACGGGGAGTAGGAGGAGCAGGTTTTCATAAGAAGTGTACTTTGCAGTTGGCTGATCCTCGTAAATAGGGAAAAGAAAAAGAAGGAGGTTGTTATTCAAAGGTGTTGGATTGTTTCTGAGCTGAAGCAATTCCTCGGCATCCTACCCAAGTCAATCTGTATGGGTAGGAGAAATTAATTGCATACATGCCAAGAGTGCCTTTTCAATATGCCCTTTTTATCTCTTTAGCAATTTTTCTCTTTACTCATATGCTATTCTTTGCATATATATATATTTTTTTAAGTCTTGATTAAGTGAATCATTAAATGTGTGAATGACTGAAGAGATAGTAACAGAGTTTGTATTTCTAGGTAACGAAAGTGTCCACAATGAAAATACGTTACGTAACATACCCTTCGGCAATAAGGTAGGTTGTGTTTATCTTAATTTTTATAAATGCAAAAATGAACTTTTGGAAAAAGAACATAAAAGCCTTCTATCCTGACTATGCTTTGAAACATTCTAACACATATGAACAAAATGGGCTACATAAGCATTTGTGTGCAAAATGCATGAGCAGTAATTTAAAGAAATAAAGCAAAGAAGGAACTCAGAAGAAAAAGGCACCAAGACTAAAATGTGTCTGAATTCAACTTGTACAGACCCAATAACTCTTAGAGGAGTTATGAATACGTCTTCTTTAGCAATAGGAATATGATGTGTCTATTTGAACCATGATGTATACAGTCTTTAAAGTCTAGTTATAGGAAAAAATATAACCCCCAAATATTGTTCATGTAAACGTGTATTTGTTCGTATTGTAGAGTTAACTGAAAATAAATTGCTAATGAGAAGCCAAAAATAACACTAAGCAAAGACAGCAGTAATTGAAAACTGAGACCAGTTCAAGACAATACTGATAATGTCCTGACCACAAATTTTTCTTCATAAAATTCATATTATTCCAACTACCTACATATGTGATGTAAGAAATTTGCAGTTACCCAGGGTCGTGTGGCAGCTGGATTTCTTGCTAAAATCCAGAATTAGAGCCCTGAGTAAGTTTTCATAATGGACCAGTTTTAGTTTACCAAATTTTAATAACCCTTTAGGCTCTCTTATGTTTGAAGCAAATCATGAGTAACCATAAAAGTCATTCGCGCTGAAGAACTGATTGAAGTATTTGCACTTCTGGATTATTCTGTGGCCCACCAATGAGCTCTAGACTAATGAGTCTACAGTATAGAGACTCATTAGATTCATTGGACTATAGCAGGATTGTGGGGTACCACCCAGGCCCAGGAGTTTATGAAAATATCTTTGTCAGACAGAGATCCTTCCACAAGATCTGAAAGACTCTACAACCATGGCATATTTGTTTGAGAGCAAGATTTTAGATAAGAGGAAAAGAATACAAATTCCCAGTGCTTAGGCTATTCACCCTCGAAATGGAAATAAAATTTGAACTCAAGGACTTGGATGTAGCTGAGTATTGCAATGATTCTTTCCTTTTAAGATGGAGATTGTCTTCCCAGTTGCCTCTACAAAGCTGTTTTTCCATGACTGTGAAAGGCAACTCTGACTTGATCACGTTTCTTTGTTCAGCCGTAAAATGGAGAAATGCTACCTCTTTATCTTCTTGGTCTTTTTCCCTAGCTTCCTGCTCGACTCCAAGGTGAAAAAGAATTTGGTTTCTGTTCCAGGAAAGATCACTAAAGAAGGTAAAATATCAGCTATATTTTTTAGAAAACCTTAAGCAGGCTTATTAGGGACTTGAAGGAATCATTTGTCTAGAAAACAGAATACTTTAACTATTTCATTGTCTTCTTCTGAAAGGATAAACATATGTATTTTTCAAGCTAAAGGTGATCGTTCCTTAGGAAGATTTATATATAGGGGTGATTTTATGCTAGTTAATCAAGTTCGATTGATGATCCATTATTCACTAATACATTTCCTGTGATCTCCTTTTCAGGTTCTTATAATGAAATGCAAGAATCTGCAGACACTGTGCTTTCTGGATGAAGCAAGCTTGCATTTGGATCGCCTGCTGTCTTCAGGGCAAATCTAGACTCTGAAAGCAAAAGCGATCCTCTGGATTTCAGAATTTGTTATTGCCACAATTTATTGGCATTGTACCTGCTTCAGATGGGTATATCGAGATTAAAATTGAATGCCATAGAGCAATTGCATTCTTTGAAAATTCTTGCATTTTACAATGCACTTTGCCACTGAAGCAACGATGTCCCATTTTGAAAATTAAAGGAAAACAAGAGCAGAGGAGTTAAATGCTCTGTAGCAAAGTTATTGGGCCTGTTTGAGGCACTAACCTTAATAGTGTACTCCTCCTGTCCTTGGAGTAACCATGACAATACAAATTTGTTTAGTACGTATTTGCCTTTCAAGTGGCTGGTCCATTTTCTGAATTTCTCACATTCAAAGCTTCTAATTATTATTGTCACTGCATGTCTGCAGAAACCTTCCCTTATTTAGTGCTTATTTGCATATAACCCTTAGAACATTGTTTTTCTATCTTTCTGTATCTCATTTTAATATACATTTCTATAACCTGTATTCCTTATTAAAAGGCTTATAATTTCATCAACTTATTTCTTGGAAACAATTTACTAGCTTAGAATAGAATGCAGTTTTATCGTTCTATGATTTCCATGCACAATCGCTGCAAATAAAATGAATGTTTAAAGCTATGTCTGACTTTTCAAAATCAATACATGACAATCAACCACTAAATTCTTCTGCCTACTGGTTTACAGAGAGAAGTCTACCAAAACTTTTAAAAATAAATAAACGATTAATTTCACCATGTAGGGCCCATAGCATAGAGTAAACAACAGATGATTTTTTTCTAGCTTCTCAAAGAAGTGACAGGAATGTCAATTTAAAGTGATTCTGCCAAACATCGATCATAGGTTTCTCGACTATTAACATTCTCAAATAAGCTCAAGTTTTAAAACATATTACAGTAGTTTGATTAATCCCTAATAGGAGGTGCTCTTTATTATGACATTTGTAAATTCAGTCCATAGTTTCGCATCCAAGCTTTCAAGAAATGGCGTGTCCTTCCACACACTGAGGCCCCATTTCTGTGGACCGTCCCACCCAAAGAGTTAGGAAAAGCAGTAGGAAAACTGCTTTTCTATAATTTTTTCCATCTATAAAATTCAAATCTATGTATCATCTCTAAAGTAAGAACTTCCATATATTGGCCTGTGACCAATGCCTACAATTCAACCATTTGCTTTATTCTCTCTCTCTTTTTTTTTTTGTGAGGAAGATCAGCCCTGAGCCAACATCCATGCCAATCCTCCTCTCTTTTTGCTGAAGAAGACCAGCCCCAGGCCAACATCCATGCCGATTTTCCTCCACTTTATGTGGGACGCCGCCACAGCATGGCCTGACAAGCGGTGCATCAGTGCGCACCCCGGATCCGAACCCGGCCGCCAGCAGTGGAGCGCGCGCACTTAACCTCTACGCCAGAGGGCTGGGCCCCACTTTATTCTTATTAAAAATGTGAAATCCACTGACAGGTAAAATGTCAACTTTTCTTATTATTAAGCAATTAGATCACTTCTTACCTGAGACTCAGTTGAGGGCGGAAGCAGGAGAGTCAAGTCTAACATAGACAGAAATCTACAATCAGGACTCTAAAATACTCTCCTTATGGACTGCGCTAACTTAGGATCAAACCGTGGCAGAAAGCCCCTTTAATAGCGTCTCTCCGTAGACATTCTGGCCTTTGAAATCTTACTGCTTTGTCATCACAAAGAAACTTGGGAAAAGAAACCTAAAAATAGCTGAGGACCTCCTTTGCTTGCTTTACCGGGGCTCCTCGCCATCCTTGGCTGATTAAGCTTTGCCAGAGCCAAGAAGGTGGTTAGAGAAGAGGAGGTTAGAGGGAGTCCGTACCATACCTGTTGCATGGAAGGAAGAGAAAAGAAGTAGAGAAATGCAACGGCAGAGGAAGGATAAGCCAAATTTAGGAATGCTCCCAAATGAAAATGCTCCATAGGGAAGCAATATTTTTTAATCTCTGCGCTTCATCTCTAACATATAAAATACTGTCCATCAAATTTGAGGCACACGACAGAAGCTTTGCCTTAGTGATGGAAGAGATCAGAGGACAGGGGCAAAGGGACAGGCAAGTAGACTAGAAAGATGTGAATGTTCCTTAGAGGTTTGGGGCATTTCTCAAAGCGCTGTAGTCACTGCTAGAAAGCAAAGACCTCTGTAGGAGATATTTTGAAGATTTTTGCTCATTCTGGAGCCTGAGCAGACAGTTGCTAATATGCCTTATCTTTCTCATCATCCATTCCTCAGATAAGACTTATTCCTTCACTGTTCCATTACTCCTAATTTTAGGCAAGAGCCAACTCCTTCCTCACGTTCTTAAATTCACCAGGACTCTGACTTCTAGAGAAATTTGAACTGGTACTATTATCAAAGGAGTTTTATGTTTAATATTAATTCCCTTCTTTTCTACCTAGTCAATTTTCCAAGCTAATAAAGAAGGCACATCTCAAATGGTTCTCCAATGAGGTAACTTTGCTGTCCTTGCCCCAGACATCTGACAATATCCAAATCTGGAGACATTTGTGATTGTCCTGACTATGGAGAAGGTATTCCTGGCATCTCATGTGTAGACACAAGGGGTGCCAGTAAACATCTTGTAATACACAGAACAAAGAATTATCCAGTCCAAAATGTCAAAAGTGTGATAGCATAGATGAATGTCTTTATTTTGAAGTGCATATGGCTTAAAAGTTTAAATGGATCATTAAATACTCAAAAGAATGGATGACTCTAATACATTTTCATAAATTAAGCATTAGGTTATTCTACCAATGGAGACTCCAATTTTAGAAAATGAGACTGTTCTCAGTATTTTTCTAATGAGAATGACCTTGTAACTTGAGTCATCATTATATCCTATTTGTGCACTAAGTATTTGCTCATCTGAATTTTCTCTTGTTTCCTATAATGCTCAGGCAGTCCGGTTTTAATAACTTGGACTTACCTGAATTTTACTGCATATTGCTTTTCTAAATGGGTAAATATTTAGGAGAGAGATCTGCGTCATAAGCCTCATCTAGCGGGTCCCGGCGGAGCAGCACAGAGCTGGTATGAGGCCCTACTTGCAGCCCTTTCCGTCACTGCACCTGCCAGCCACTCTTGTTGGCCTGCCTTATTTCGTGAGGCTGACCTTTTAAGGCAGACTATCACATAAAAGACAGCAAAAGGCAAGATTCTCAACACAATAGACCTCAAATTTATAAATTACAGTGTATGATTTTCTCAATATTCTCGTCTTCAAAATGCAGCTATATTGCTTCTTACATAACTTTATGGATGTTAAATGGGATTGTGTATTTAAATGAGCAGTGCAGTACCGCATTTGAGGTAGGACTGACCTAGTTTGAATATTGGCTCAGCTGTGTCCTAGCTGTGTAAACTAAGCCAGTTTTTCAGTCTCCCTGAACCCTATTTAATCAGTGGTAAGATGGGGGTAATAATACTAACATTAGCATAGGTTGTTTGAGAATTAAATGTTACAGAAATCATTTAATTAATTAATCATCCAAAGAAAATACTTTTGATGGCATAATGGAGTGGTGTTAATAATTACGATGGAAAAGCAGGCATAAAGTGGGACTACCTCAGGCATAAGTTGGGATATACTGTCACTCTACTTAAATGAGACATAAGTGATTAGAACATTTTGGCTTGGAGTAAATGGTCTATGAAGATACTTTGCAAAAAATAATCCTCTTGGTAATGTGAATACTGTGTGATACACTAGGCTGGCTTGTTATCTGACTGGCCCTTAGGCACAGCCTTATAGCATATGATTCAAATCCACAACATTATTGGAAAAACTAATGATTACAAAATGTTGAATGACATTTTCTGTCATTCACCCGTAAACCTGAATCACTCGTAAACATCAGAAGCCTCAAGTGGAAAAAGCCATCCGCGGTAAGGTACTATAGCAGTGTTTTCCAAGCTGTGTTACAAAGAACTCCTGGGTACTGCATTGAAACAGCGTTCTGTGATCAAGTGAGTTTGGAAAGTATTATGTATTTTAGTTCCTTTTAGAATAGCATAGCAGATATCCAAGTATTAATGACTAGCCCTTCCTCAGAGAAATCTATACAGTTTGAAAAATACTGGCTTACGTTTTTGTATATGTAAGCTGGCCTCATTTTCCACTTAATGGAAAAAGAAAAACTGGCTGAAGGGTGCCTGCTGTGATGTTTTGAGAAGGAGCCTGAAACCTGGGTTCAATGGGAAGCTGTGTTAAGATCAGTTAATGATGTTTGCCCTGGATGACGGTGTGGGGAGGGTGAAGGGAGTGGGGGCGTGCATGATACTTATTTGGCGTTCAGGATTTGCATGTGGTTAGCATAAAGTAAAAGATTAAATTCTCAATTTTGCAAATTATAAAAGTTAGTTTCAGTTAGACTAGAGATCACTTGTCTTCAAACAAATGAATTAGTAAATACATTTCTGAGTAAAAGCCTATAGTTACTGTTGTATGATTCTTTGTATGTCTTCAAATCAACATCAAGCTTGGTTCCACTCAGAACTGGTGTGAGACATTTAGAGATGCTGTGCATTGAAATGTGACAAACACTGAAGCGATTTCTGAGTCCGTGGAAACCAGGGGGGTAGTTCTGCTCATATTGCCTTTCTGAGAGAGAGAAATTAGCCCTCAGCAAATTAACCAACAATTTGTAATGTTGTAATGGACTGTCTCTTTCATCTCTCAAGCTGAGGATGGACATGTTACATCACCTGTGATAAAAAGGTGCTGCAATTTTGCCTCTAGCACTTTCTCATTTCTTCACTTGAGCTAAAGAAAGACAGGGGGTGTGAGGAAGTGTGAACTGACGCTGTTTTGGCTTTCATGCCTGCCATTCCGTGAAAGCATCTACAATCGCACTGAGGAGTCTTGAGCATCCTTGCAAGACGTTGGCGTTTGTCGTAATGTTGCAGAATAAGGTGTTCTGTAACTTGGACATGGCAAGTCATGCCCAGTACCCCCAGATCTTCTGCAGCAGCAGGCTTGGGGATCCCAGCAGATGACCTGTCATTAACAGTGACATTGAAGGGCATAAGGACCTTGCTTATGACAACCACATGTCCTCCTCACCCTGGCTTCCACCTACTGTAGTACTGTAACTGAGATGTTTTTATTTTATTTTATTTTGGTAAGAACACAACATAAGATCTACCCTCTTAAATTCTTGAGTACGCAGTAGTTATTGTTGACTATAGGTAAGAATGCTGCACAGCAGAGCTCTAGAACTTTTTTTTTTTTTTTTGGTGAGGAAGACTAGCCCTGAACTAACATCTATTGCCAATCTTCCTCTTTTTGCTGAGGAAGGTTGGCCCTGGGCTAACATCCGTGCCCATCTTCCTCTACTCATATATGGGACACCACCACAGTGTGGCTTGATGGGCAGTGCATAGGTCCACGCCCAGGATCTGAACCTGTGAACCCCAGGCCACCGAAGCAGAGTGCACAAACTTAACCACTACACCACCACTGGGCCTGCCCTCTCTAGAACTTATTTTAACTGAGGTGTTTACACACCTTCCCAATTGGATTTTGATCACAAATGATCTTTCAGGGTTTAACAAAGCAACCCATCTACGACTATGAAAACTATCTGCTTCTTCACTGTCTTGAAAAAG